ATTTTTGTTATATACTTTTTTTTTTTTAATAAGTAAATATCATTTCTTTATTTATTGGTATTATACTTAAAGTTATATATACTTGTAAAAGAAACAATATTTCTTGAATGCAAAAAGCATATAACAAGTTAAATACTAACTTGCCTACCTATCTATATCTAGTTAATATTGAAAAAAATTTAAAATAATATTGTATATGCTAAATATAGCTGAGAGTAGCTATGCTTATTTACTCAGAATTTTTTGATTAGATGTAAAAAAAAATAGGAAATTGAAAAAAATTGAAAAAAAAAATAAACTGGGACTATAATAATATTGGCTACTGAAACTAAAACTAGATTACTTGAACTATAAAATCTATGTAAACAAAAAATATATCTAAAAGGTAACCAATAGTCTGGTTCTTGCACTGATACTGGTCTTAGAGATATGATTCTTGTTGATATGGATAATAAATTATAATTGATATTGTTTAATATTATAGTAGTTGTTGTTACTGTTGTTGTATTGAAAAATCAGTTTAAATAGGTTCAGTTTTTTTTTTATTGTTTTGATGAAATCTGATTGGATTATTGGAGAGCAATAATTATTTGAAGGGAGTAAACTAATTTCAGTTTTTTGAAAAAAATTTTTTGGAGATTTTGAAATGACGCAGTAAATAGTATCATAGTAAAGTTATACAGAGAGACCTCCCTAAATGCACCCTCTATAAATGCACTTACTATATTTCTCTCTCTAAATGCATGGTCAAGCTTGGTCCCAAGTATATAGAACTCTTAATAAAATTACCTCCATAAATGCACACCCTCTATAAATACACATTTTTCAAAAAATTTTCTATGGTCTCGAGGGTATGCATTTAGAGAGGGTTTACTGTATATATAATTTTAAATTTTAAATTTATTTTAATATTCTTAAATATTTAAAATTTGTTATAGTATTTATTATAATTATAATAATAAATATATATAAATTTTATTTAATCTTAATACAAAATATATAATAGTTTAATTATTTTTATATACAAATTTTTAAATATAATATTTGAATACTTGTATATACAATATATATAAATTACAATTTATACTTAAATATTTATTTATAATAAAATTGTTTTTTTAAAAACTTATTTTTATATAACTATAAAATTATTTTTTAATTTTTAAATTTTATAAAAAACTAAGTAATTTATTCTTTTAAAAACTTAATATAAAATAATAATAATAATTATTATTATTTTTAAGAAGCAAATAGTCATTATGCTTTGTTTTTATTAATTATAATTTTAGATATACAAAACAAAATTATTATTATTATTATTATAACATATATCTCTCTTTATTAGAAAGAGTTTAATACAAGATTTATAAAACAGTCACATTTCTGTACTTTTTGGTATTACCCAAGAAAAATAATAAAAAAAAATTCAAATTTTATATTATAATCTTGAATAGTATTTAGTTAGCTAGAAATTGTTTAAATATTTAATCATATAAAGATACTGTAGCCACTTTATATAGGTTTGCCTCCAAGTTATAAGTAGAATTGACATAATTGCTTTTCAAATATAGCTTAATATTTGACAGATAAAGTAATATTGAAAATGATTAAGTTGTAAATATTTTTTTATTGGAAGGTACTGTAATCACTTTATACAAGTTTGTTTTTAGTTACAAAAAGAATTTGGCATATCTATTTTCAAAGTATAGCAGAGGTGTTCTATAGATAGAATTTTGTATTGAAGTTTTTTAAAAATATTAATATCTAATCTTATATAATAAGCCTATATTATTAAAGGAATAAGCAAGAAACTTTTGTTATTATCATTAACTTGTATTATAAGTATAACTAAAATTCCTAGTTTTTATATATTATTTTATCAACTTTTTTAATTACTAGTATAATACCTGCAACTAATTTAACTTATAGTTAGCTATATTGGCATTGACTATCATATCATTTTGAATATTGTGAAATACAACTCTTTGAATACTTTCAAATAATAATAGTTATATACTAGTTTCTTATATATATCTAATTTTATTATTAACAAATAAATAACATTTTTAATATTTATAAATTTAATTTCAAAATCTTAATTTTCTATAGAAAAATTTTTTTATAATAATTTTAAGAAAAAATATTTTATATTCTTTATTGCAAGTAAGTTTCTATTTAAAAGCTTAAGAACCTTTAAGACAACCAATATAGTAAAATAGGATCTTTGATTAAAGTCTATTCAAGTTTGAAATAAAAGTTTTGTTTATTTTTTTATTATATAATATAAGAAAAAATTTATAACAATTTTCTTTTTTTTTTGTTCTTTTGTATTTTTTTTTGTTTTTACTATATTATTAAAATTATTTACATTAATATTATTATATTTATTAAATTATACTTTTTTTAAAAAATACATTCAAACAAAATTTTTAAATCTATTATTTGTTTTAATACAACTTTATATATAATTTTACTATAGTAATACTTATTGTGTTATTTCAAAATTTTCAAAATCTTTTTTTCAAAAAACTAAAATCAGTTTACTCTTAAATAATTATTACTCTTCATTTATTTAATTAGATTTTATTAAAACAACAAAGCAAAAACTAAATCTGTTCAAATCAATGTTTCAATATAATAATAACAATATTAATTATTATAACAATAAATAATATCAATCATATTCTGTTATTTATATTAATAAAAATAATATCAACAAGTAGCAAAAAACTAAAAGAATGAGTTATTAAGTCAAACTAGAAGTTTTTTTGAAAATATTATTTTTATTTATATAAATTTTATAGTTTAAATGGTTTAATTAAAATTTTAGTAATCTATATTATTATATCTTTGGTTTATTTTTTCTTTCAATTTTTTTTACTTTTTGTTTTCTTTATATCCAATAAAAAAATTTTGAATAAGTAGGCATAGCCATTATTTCATTATATTTGACATATATAATATTATTTAAATTTTTTTTTTTGATATTAGCAAAGTATAAATAAGTAAACAAGTAAGCATTTAACTTGTTGTATGCTTTGTAAACAAGAGATGTTATTTTTTTTACAGTGTATATAACTTTTTAGTATAATACCATAAATAAATAATTTTGTACATATATAATTGGATATAAATTACTTAATAAAATTTGTATATTTTATTATTGTAATGGTTTGATTTAATTCTAATAAGCAAAAAGATAAATTAGAATTGTACAAGAATTTTTAAAAGTAATAGAATTTTTTAAAAAAATAAATAGCAATCAAGAGAATATAAAAAATCATATAATTTTTGAACAATTAAAATATTTATTTAATTTAGCTTTATAATTATAATTATTATAAAACAATTATTATTATTATCAATTAATACATATTATTATATATAAAGTCTTGAAAATTATTTTTACAATATACATTTAAAAACTGTATTTTAAAATTATTTTTGATATTAACAAAAAATAAGACTACAATTTCAAAATATGTTTTTCTTGACTATTATTATTCTGTTGTTATATACAGTCAAACTTGAATATAACGAAGCTTTTGGACTGATTACTAAAACTTTATACATATAATGAATTTCACTTTTAATAATGAATTTGGAGTAATTTCCAAAATTCGAAAATTCATTATAACCAGCATTTTATTATAGCTTCGTTATAAACGGGTTCATTATATCCAGGTTTGACTGAAATATCTATATGCAGTATATTTATTTGGAATATATTTATTTGTAGTATATTTATTTACAATCTAATTATTTATAGTATATTAGATTTTATGTTACACTCTAAAAAATAATTTTTGTCATTTCAATTATGTTAAGATAAATAACAAACAATTATGCTGTAGATGAAATGACTTTAGGTTTTGTTATTTTACTTATAACGAGCGTAGCAAAGAACCACCCCTGTATTAAATTATTTAAACCGGCAGTCACCCACCCCTGCATTTGGTGATTTACTTTTTGATACGGACTTAATAACGGTCCTTGTTCCCTCGTTTAGCTTTCTTTAATCTAAGATTTCAAATTAGATTTTATTAAAAAGGTCTAATTGATAAATATTCCATTTACCGCATATACAGTATCTTAATGTTATTTATTCATTCATTTCCAAGTGAAATTCTTAGAAATAGCTTGTAAGTTTAAAAATTTGTTAAACATGGTAATTAAAACAGATCCGAATTATTAAAAAAAAAATCATCAAGACAATAAAATTTGTCCATTTAATATAAATCAGAAGACGGGCGCGTTCATATGTCTGCGCTCTATACAGCATTGAATTTGTAATAGTGAAATGGCGTGAAAATCAAGGAACCAATAAGATCACTTTAATCGGACAGAGATTAGAGAGAATTGGTAATATAAATATAAATATTTGGTATTATGAAATAGATTCTTTGTATGAAATCGATTATATGATATATCGACGAAATACTGTACATAGAGTACGGCGTATACAATACATACTGTATCATTGTTGGTGATAAAATAAAACAATAACAAAAAGGACAACGATGCTTTAGAATATCATCTTTTTATATAAGATTTTATTTGAGTAATTATTTTCGGCTGATCCTAAAATTTGCATTGTATACATTATGATTGCTATTTATTATTATTTTTTTTTTGAGAACGAATTTGATTTGAGTAGAGTCGGCCGATAAAGTTTTAAGTGCATCGATGATTGGCTGATAAAATTTATATCGAAAACCACTGTTACAAAATACTAATATGTACTTTCCAAATCCAGCCACTGATCTTTTTGCTTACATAATCAAGGGGCGTTAAACACTGTTAAATTTAATAGAAAAGTTTTAAAGTTCGAAGTAATTTTTATTTAGCGACACCTCTGAACCTAAAATACGGTATAAATCGGGGAATCTTAATCGTAAAAAGGATGTTTGAAGAAGGAAAACATCCTTTGAAAATAAACGTAAATGTACGTGCGTTGAACTTATGATTCTTTAGTTTAATGACGAAAAAGTGCGACCAAATTATAAGTTTGAAATAGAAGCATCAAATTGATTGAATTTCGCATCGGTCTCCGGTGGAAAGGTATTATAAGAATTGATGACATTTGTAACAGGATACATATTAAGAGTTTCATAAGTGTTAAGGTCTTTGGGGGACATGAGGATTTCGTAAGTTGGTGGAGAGGTGAATTCTTGGTAAACTTGAATGCCTGGCTCCATATAATAGTCGTAATTATACGGTGGATAGTAGGCAAAATCCCAATTTTTCATTTCAGAGCTTTCTGGTGTGGAAAAAAGAGGCAGGAATTCATAAGAAACGGATGGTGTCACAGGAATACCGAAATATCCCGAACCTGTGGGATATGCTAGGAAGGGCGTTATGTCCTGATTCCTCACAGTTTTCGGTGGACCACGTTTTTTTTCGGGTTTGGTAAACTCGCAGTTGAGATGGTTAATTTGACACCTGGTGCATTTTGGTTTACCAGAACATTTTGCTTTCCGCTTCCTGCAATTTTGACAGGCAACCGTTACCTTTTGCCTTTCGCGATTTTCTTTAGTCATTTTAATTGAAGTCGTATTTCATTAAAGAATTATTTTTTTAATGTTCATCTGAGGAATATTTTTCGGTTTTGAGATCGTGAAGTATCAAAGAAAGAAAAAAAGAATGTAATGTTATTACGTTCAAGTTCCGGATGAAAATCGAAGGGACTTGGTCAAAATGTGCCCTAGGTGCTCTAGTGCTTTATAAACTCTAGAATTTCATACGCATGTCAAGTCACTATTGTCGGGATAAATTTTTTATTTGACAGTATATCGGCGCATTCCTTATGCGTGCACTTATTGTTAAATCAATGAATTTTACTGTTAGTGGCACGGGAATGTTTCCAATAAATATTACGTGTCCGTGACATTATTCCGTGCATGCATAATATATAAGAATTAAAAAAATCAAAGAGAGAGATGAGAAGTATGTAATTAACAATAGTATAGTTAACGCAACTTTATGCACAAACGCCAGAATGCCTTGTGAAAATTTCCTTCACGCGTTTAAAAATAAAACCAACATTTTGCAATGAATGTCGTTAAATTCAATTGCGCAAGTACGCACATTACAGTATTTATGAGGCGAGACAGGTCAATACATGAAATCTGTCTATTATCTTTGACAAATTTAATAACGCTCTTCAAACGCCGGATCAATCATACAATATAGCATCATGATCAAATGTTTCAGATTCTTTGTAATTATCGTCAATAGCGAAGAATTTGGATTTACCATTTAGCATTCTATGAATCCACACTCTTCATAGCAAAATATTATGAGGAAATTAGTCACGTGAATGTGTGATAAAAGTAACTTCTTAAGGCTTGCAGTGATAAAAATGGTGATGTTATACGATAAAATTTTCTGTATACAAAGTAGTAAAAGCTTTAATTGTGTACAATCCAAATCAATTCCTGATTTTAATAGATAATGATTTATGGTGGTAATATTGTTATTGAAAAATTCATCGAAAAAACGAATTACGAGAAATGATTTGTGACAAGTTTTGAATTTTCCAAACTTTTCTCTTTTAAAACTAAAATCAACAGCTCTAAAATGTAAAGTAGAACCAAATTATCTCTGTTTGAATATCTAGTGTCTTATCTATTTTCGCTTGATCTGTGTTCATTATTCGGAGTGATAAGGGTACGTCCTTCTGAATTTTTTTTTTTTCTTTTTTTTTTAAAAAAATCTCAAAGAATCCAACTTTGGATAATAAATAGCATCAGTAAAATTTATAATTTATTGATAACGTTCATAAAGTAGATGTGTGTCACCATGCGTGTACAAGTGGTCGATTTCCCTGCACACGAGAATCAACTAACCAACAAACAATTTCCTTTTATGGAAACAGACCAATGTGCGTGCGAATTGTTTCATTGTCACCATAATTGACGAAATTGGGTTGATTATGTAAATCTTGCTTTTGGTGGACTTTGCAAGAACTTAAGAACCTGGCACAGATTTCAAATGCCTTTTTTAAAAAAGTTATTTGTTTATGTTAGATTCATTGTTAATTATGGCGGTCAATATCATAGGATTGCAATGTATCACTCTAAGTATCGTTATGATTAAAAAAAATTAATTGACAAATCCGTTATTAATGAACAACCAAAAACCTGTTGTATTGCATGGTCAAATGTTAAAGCTTATTTATTACGTCCATTAAAGTCCATGAAGCAGTTTCATGTTATTTATTGTCAGAACAAGCATAGTTTACCTTTATTATATACAGCATATTGTAATTTAATGTTATATTATATACCGCACATGTACAGTGCATATTGTATTAATCATAAGTTCATATAACTTGCGAGACCATTGGATTTTTCATCGGAGAAATGGTGTCTCGGGGAGTCGGTATTTTGTTCCGCGTAACGTATCGCCATTTTTGTCTCGGTGTATATTGGCGAATCTAATTTTTATTCGGTTATGTGTTCAACTAATTAACAAGGAAGGAGGAGCGAATCAAGTTTTATTGTACTCGTCGACTATCTGATACTGTATAATGACATTCCTTTTAAGGTGTATATATTGCTAAAATTAAATAAAGATATCTATCTCTTGGCCCATCCATCTGCAATATGGTCGAAAAGTAACAATAATTTGAGAAGAGTAATTTAGATACGACAAGTCCGCGATGTATAAATTTAAAATCAGTTTAATAATTAGATGCTTATTAATTTATTAAAAGTTAGCATGTGCTTTTTTTTTCTTGTTTTTCTTGTTTTTTTGTTGTTGTTGTTCTTTTTTCTCTCTAGTAAAATCCCTACCCGAGGAATTTGATCATTATAAATATATTATTACTTATGTACACATTAGAAATATCATATTTCATATTATACCTATATTATCTAGTATGGAAATATCATATTTCATATTATAAAAATCTATATTATCTAGTGTATATGTGTTTAATAAAATAATTACTTTTTTTCTTCGATATCTTTTCTCAAAGGATTTTTCTTGAGAAATTTGTAGATAGGCATCACGCTATTTCTTCCTCTCTCTTTTTTAAGTCCTAGGAATTTTTTGACCGATTTAGTCACCTTTTTCACAATTGAACTGTTATGTGTAGGAATTGCCAGAGGTCGAGGTGTATTTATTTTTTCTTCCGAAATGAAATTATTTGTTTTGGTTCCGTTGGATTCTTCTGATATCACGTTTACTTTGGATTCTTCTGATATCATGTTTACTTGGGATTCTTCCGACATCATGTTTACTTGTGATTCTTCTGATATCACGTTTACTTGGGATTCTTTTGGAGTAACCGATAATCTTGTGACTTCATCTTCAACCGAAGAATTTGTTTCAAGCTTTGAATCTTGAGACATATCATTTTTATTACTTTCCGATGAAATATCTGTCGTATCATCTGACTTGAGTAATGGTGCATCGTATTTCTCCCCTCCAAAGATAAATGAACTTCTTTGTTGCATGACAGCTATTTCTCTTCGGTGACGTCTCGACGCCACGGCCGCTTTAAGAACTAAATTAGCATCGGCTTCTTCGTGATTTTGATATACGGGCTTTCCTTTGTGCAACACGATTATACGCGGACGTTGAACTCTTTGTGCTCTTATTGCTCGTTGTATTTCATAATCTGCTTTGGTGAATCCAATTCCAGA